TAACAAAAATTGATTCTCACTGGATAAAAGATTTAAACTTAAGACATGAAACTATAAAAATACTGGAAGAGAGTGCAGGGAAAACACTTGAAGAAATTTGCCTGGGAGGATATTTTATGAGGAGAACCCCTTGGGCAATTGAAGCAACACCACAAATACATTACTGGAATCTGATCAAACTAAAAAAACTTTTGCACAGCCAAGAGCACAGTAAGTAAAGCAAACAGACAACCTTCGGAATGGGAGAAGATTTTTGCAGGGTATGCTTCTGACAAAGGTCTGATAACTAGAATCTACAGAGAACTAAAATTAATAAGAAAAGAATAAATAACCCCATTTCTATGTGGGCAAGAGACTTGAACAGAAACTTCTCTGAAACTTCTCTGATGAAGACAGGCGCATGGCCTACAAACACATGAAAAAATGCTCATCATCCATCAGAGAAATGCAAATCAAAACCACTTTGAGATATCATCTAACTCCAGTAAGATTAACCCACATCACAAAATCCCAAAACTACAGATGTTGGCATGGATGTGGAGAGAAGGGAATGCTTCTACACTGATGGTGGGAATGCAAGCTAACACGCCCTTTTTGGAAAGAAGTTTAGAGAATACTCAAGGAACTAAAAGTAGACCTACCGTTCGATCCTGCAATTCCTCTACTAGGTATATACTCAGATGATCAAAAATTATTTTACAACAAAGACATTTGCACCAGAATGTTTATTGCAGTCCAATTCATAATAGCCAAGACATGGAAACAGCCCAAGTGCCCATTGACCCATGAATGGACTAATAAATTGTGGTATATGTACACCATGGAATACTATGCAGCCATAAGGAAAGATGGAAACTTCACATCTTTTATGTTTACCTGGATGGAGCTGGAACATATTCAAAGTTCATATTACTTTACTCTTAGTAAAGTATCTCAAGAATGGGGAAAAAAGTATTCAATGTACTCAATACTACCATTCAATCAATATATAATAACCTATACACTCATACAAATGGCAAAACATAACTGTAGGCTCGGCGCCTATGGCTCAAGCGGCTAAGGCGCCAGCCACATACACCTAAGGTGGCGGGTTCGAATCCAGCCAGGGCC